ACCACCTTGCTCCTTGATTCTGCTTCCAAACTATTGCTTCCTATGATTCCATAAAACCCCCTCTTCCTTTGAAGTTCACGCCATGCCACTATGCCTCTATCATGTCCCTTTATCACTGTCATCTATGTACCATATACTGGTAAATACTGGTTGAATGGTTAACTCTGAATAATTGACTGGTTCAATAAAAGCTGTTTTCTTGGTCACTCTTTTTATTTGAGGCTATGGTGCCAGGCTCGTTACATTTCTTTCTATACCTTTTCCTAGTAGGATCCTTGGTGAAATGTCCATGGAGAACTAAACAGAAACTCCAGTTTCCTCACAAACCCTTGGTCTTCTAAGTGACTTAAATTTCCCTTCACCTACTTCAACCATACAAATCAAATCTAGAACTGCTCTATGTCTGACCACAGCTTTGTATGCATTTAGCTGTCTCATGCCCTACCTCACCCAATCCCTTGATACAATTTTCCCTAATCTTTCCCTGGCTGTACTTCCCTCTTTATACATCTTAAACCACTATTTTAAAATACACTCAACACTCTCCACCCTCTTGTCTCCCTTCAGTCCTGCCTAATTCATTTGGAAGCAGGCCTAACTGGATCACAGTCTACTTTTTTTTTGAGGCCTTGTGCCACTTCCAGTGCTTCTCTCTGTAGGATCTTCGATAGCTACACGTGGCTTTCCTTGGCTCTCGATGAGCTATCTTTATCACATCTCCAAGTCATTTCCCAAAAACCACTAACCCTACTCTGCCTCATTCACAGTGGATGACCTCGCTTCCTCCTTTATGGAATTCGTCCATTTTCTGCCTTCTCTACCTATGAACTGGATTACTTGTGAAAGTACTCTAGTGCTTTCTTCCTGGATCAGCACCAGCTTCTCATTCCTGTTCCACAGCCAGTCTTCCATAGGACTCCAGAACCCAGTTCTCTTCTTCTGCCTCTAGGTCCTGTTTCCTCAATTATTTTACTCAAAAAATAATTTTCTGGAGGTTTACTATGCCTTGGGACCAACTCTAGATGCTGGTGTATGGGAGGGAAACCAAGACAGACAAAATCCTGACTCTCACTGGGGAACAGGGATAGGGGTGGGTGTGAAGAACAGACAATAAACAAGCGAAAGCTTCAAAACATGATATTTTCTCTTTTCATAGATCCATAGAGCTCTCTTTTTTTTAGACAGGGTCTTGCTCTGTCACCCACGCTCTGGAGTGCAGTGGCACGATCATGGCTTATTGCAGCCTTGACCTCCTGGGCTCAAATGATTCTCCCACTTAAGCCTTGTGAGTAGCTGGGACTACAGGCACAAGCCAATACACCCAGCTAATTTTTATTTTTTGTAGAAATGGGGCTTCACTACATGTCCCAGACTGGTCTCAAACTCCTAGGCTCAAGCAATTCTCCTGCCCTGCCCTCCCGAAGTTCTGGGATTACAGTTGTGAGCCACCATGCCTGGCCTTTCATAGATCTAATTCATGGAACAGGATTGGGAAAGCTAGTGCTGATTCTTGAAGTAGAAATTCAGGTTGGTTTGAGAAGTAAACCGCTCCACCAGTTCTGCCCTGCCACCCATGGCTAAAGACAGCCATCCAACCTTCCTCGCCCCTGCATTGTTCTCTAGCTACATCTTTCTTCCTTACTTAGCTGACATTTAAAGATGACTCCATACATGCTGCCTTCATTTTTTTTTATTTAGTTATCTTTTCAGTTGAAAAAGTAATACATGTATTAAAAACAACAACAACAAAACAACAAAAAACTGAAGAAAAGACTACTGTACTTCTTAACTGTCTGTTCGCTCTTTAACCCACCATAATCTAGCTTCTGCTCAACCAGTCCACTGAATCCACTCTGGCAAAGGTATCCAATGACTGTCCTTTCACAGTGCCAAACATTAGTGGACTTTTCTCACCTTGTATTACCCCCTAGAAGCTTTCACTTGTTATAACACAAGTTAAGGTCTTATTTGGCTTTTTCTCCTCTGGTGCCTCTTAAATGCTGATGTTAAACCCAGAGTTTCACCTTTGCCCATGTTCTCTTTCCATATGTACCCACCTTATGTAATAGGACCATATAATTTTTATGATCCTAATGTGATCTCTTTGAGAGTGAAAAAGGACAAATAATTACTATTCTGGGATAACAGGTGTAAACCAAGACTATCCCAAACAATCTTTGATATATAGTCACCCTTTGCTTTGGAGGTGGCATCAATGGTTTTTTTTAACAAACACCTGTTAATCATTTGCAAAATTAAATCTGTAGCCTTGATATTGACATTTAACTTTGTTATAATTTCTTACAAATATCTCAAACTCAGCAAAGTCAAACCCAGTTAATTATTAACATTCCTAAAATTTCTTAATCCTTGTATTTTCTATCCAAGTTATAAATATTACCCAGTCGCTCATACCTCCAAGCTAGGGATTCTTCTAGCTTCTATTTCTCCCTCTCCTATCACATTTAATCGCTAAATCACGGAAATTTTAGCTCTAAATAGTTCTCTGATCCACTGCTTTTCTCCTGAACTACCATCATGACTATTATCTGATGCCCTTGCTCTTGTCTCCTTCAACTCCATCTTCCACATTGCTGCTAAATTGACCGCAGAGTGATCACATTTCTGCTTTGGACATTTCATTAGCTCCCTACCAATTACCATAGAAAGACTGTCATCATGACACTCTTGTTTCTTTCTTTAGTCTCATAACCTGCTGCTCATCTCTCTCTCCCTTTGTACTCTAATAACCAAACAGCTTGTAGAAACACATTCATATACATATCCCTAATAAACTGTTTTTCACTTGCAGGACTTTGTTCATGCTGTTCCTTCTGCCTAGTAAGCAGATCCTCTTATTTGGCTTGCCAACACCTGCACAATTTTCTCTATTCACTCACGGCAGCCCAGCAGGAAGCGAGGTGCCTCTCCTTAAGTTTCACACTACCTGTCCACATCCCAGCTATAGCACCAAGTATGTTCATTTGAAATTATTTATGTCAGTCTTCCCTAGTAGTTGGTAAGCTTTCTGAGGACAGGAGCAGTGATCTGCAAATACCTGACAAATATTCATTCTATCTTTAGGATATCTTATCCACTGTTATAAACTTAACAACAAAATTAAAATAAGTTGGACTAAATATTGAAACAAATAAATAACTTCATTACTTCTGTATGTTTCCACATTTTATAAAGTCATCAGTAAAAAGATATAAAATGTGTAAGGACTTCAGCTGCCAAAAATTTTGCCATGTTTTATAAAATGATAAAAGTAGGTCTTAGGATAGGAGACAGGATGATTAAATTAAAAATATATAGTAGTAATGTGCCAAAGTTAAAAAAGAACAAATTGTAAACTGTTTACAATTACAGAAAATCACAATACTTTTCAGCAGTTGTTTGATTTGGAAAGTTTTGCAAAAATATTATCCAAAGCATTTTTTTTCTACAAGAGGTTTCTCGTTCCTTTTATTATTTATATTAAAAAATACAACTTAGAGATTAGTATTGAATATCATAAAACCCAGTATCCATCAAATCTACTCAGATATTTTTCTCTACTTTCCCAATGTCTCCTCTTATGACTTTCATGTTCTTAAATGATTAGATCTGGCTCAGAAGGAAGAAACTTTCACTTTGTCTGTCAAAACCTAAACTATTTGACCTTCGAGGCATAGAACAAAATCTACAATTTTTGGATAAAATGTGGTGTTCCTGTCACTTATTTAAGTAATTTTGGGAAATTAAAAAAAAGTATAATCTAAAATTTTAAAGAAAATTAGTGTTACCAGAGGCATAACAAGAGCATCTGGCACAACTAGTATTCAATGAACAAATAAAGAGAACCACATAACAGTTTAACAGTCACAATTATAAATGCCTCTAATTAGTATATGTTCTTCTGACAAAGTCTTACTTTATGTTAGCTTCCTATTTCCTAATTCAATCACATAATTTTGTGCAATTTTTCCTAATTATATTTTGGCTTAGAAGTTTTATTATGTGAATTTTTGGTTACTTCTCTGAGATGGAAAACAATATGAGGTATTTTGAAATTTCAAATACATACTGAGAGGCAGAGTGCAGTGGCTGACACCTGTATAATCCCAGCATTTTGGGAGGCCGAGGGGGGCAGATCACGAGGTCAGGAGATTGAGACCAGCCTGGCTAACATGATGAAACGCTGCCTCTACTAAAAATACAAAAAATTAGCTGGGCATGGTGGCACACACCTGTAGTCCCAGCTACTTGGGAGACTGAGGCAGGAGAATCGCTTGAACCCGAGGCGGAGGTTGCAGTGAGCTGAGATTGTGCCACTGCACTCTAGCCTGGGCAACAGAGCCAGCAAGACTCTGTCTCAAAAAATAAAATAAAATAAAATACACACTGACATTTTCTTGTAGCTAAGGACTATGAGACTATTTGAAAGGGCTAGGCACTGGCTTTCTGGCTACTGCAGGCACCCTAACATAGATCTGAGGAGATGGGAACACATCTACAATTCAGCACTATATTGAGAAATATATTTTTCTAAAATATAACTGGGAGAAAGTTAAAATACCTTTAAATGTAATATTTTTTTATTAGCAAGATGTTGATATTATAAAAATAATTCCACTCTCCTGATAAACATCCTTGAATATTCCCTACCTGTCAGAAGGTGGAGCTCTAAACATATCTCAAATACTGGCTTTTACATATGCATTTCATAACTGTGTGTAACAACGAGATTAAAGCAGGAGTAAAGTCTTCAGAAAAATGGTTCTGAAGAACATTCTAATTCTCCCAGGATAAAATAACTCACATCTCCCAGTGTGTACACAGTTAACCAACAAAAGAGATGTTTAGTATGTTCCTTTGAAATTTCAGTATATTACCCTACTATAAAACTTGAGGTACATGTAAATCAAATAATAAAACACCCAGTCTATTTAAAAGGCAAAACATTTTAAAAAATCTGGAGTACCTAGTAAAATGTAGGCAAGGTCATTAACACTTACAAGCATCTCGGATGTAGAGTAACATGGCTACGAAGATATAATCTACCAAACCCAGGCTGAGGCCGTCTGCAAACAAGGCATCCCAGACCACCAGAAGGTCCTGTAGGGGGAACTCTCGTCCAAACAGCAGGCGCACCCACCTTCTGGAAAGAAACAAAACAAAAATTCAGAAGACAGTACTTTTGAGAGTAATGTGGAGAGTGATCATTTTCTGAAGTAACTGCGAAAAACTATTAACTGAACACAGTGAGCAAATATTATATATCAAAAATATATAGTAAGATCTACATTTTAAGCTTTCAAATGAATTTTATAATTGTATAACTAGGCCATAATCATTAAATGCTATTATATACACAAGTATTACATTTGAAAAAAGTCAAAATCTTTCATATTTAACAGAAATCACAAATTTCCAAAAGGTGAAGAGAAAATGAATGTTTAGTACTCTCGTAGTTGCTTTCACAGGTAAGGTTGTAAGTTAAAAATAAAATTTTCCAAAATTTCATGATCTCTACTGATTTTCTGTGGTTGTTAATTCCTTTTTGCAAATATTTATATGACAAATCCTATACAGACTTGGAAAACTGCATTCTCACATCTCGCTTCTATTTAAAATAATTCATTTTAAAATTAAGTGTGGGAAAAAGCCAGCAGATACCTATTTTTTTGGTCAAGCACAGGTAGTTATTTTAAACGTAAGATACAGTCATACTAAATTTTTTTTAGCTTTGCAACAGATATACCTGATCGATAAGGCTATCTTTCTAGGAGTGCTTTTCAAACTTATTTCTATTACCTTGAAAATAAATATGCCACAGAGTAAACATAAGCAGCTAATAAGAATACCAAGCAACATCTGTATATAATTGTACATCATAGTGACACTTTAGACTTTCTATAAATGCTATTCATATCTAATTCTTATAAGAAAAAAATTGATGTTTTTATTTATTTAACTTCTAATTTTATATAACATGGCTACAATTTCCTTAAATAAGTCTTTTTCTAAGGACTTCAGCTAGAATTCTACGTGATTCTAGCACATAGCAAAGAATTAAAAATTCTAAATTTCTAGTATCATCAAATTGTATAGAATAAAACAAATTCTTTAAAAAATTATGAGATGTTACTTCTGTGTAAAATTAGAAACCAAATATAACCATCTGTGGGGTTAAAGAAAGGCAAAATAAATTCAAGTACTTTCCTCAGAGTAATATATTTAAGGAGGAATTAAAGATGTGGCAATATACTCTATACTCACAAATATGTATCATAGCTTATTAGGAACTATGTGATTGAACACTTAAGTTTTTTTAATTCACATTACCAAATTAACCAATAGAATAATTAGATTATATTTTCAACTTCATCAATTACTCAGTTTTTCAGTATAAAAAATTTAAATGCCCAATATTTATCTTTTAAAAAATGTTATAGTATCTCATCATTTTTATCTGCCTTTCAATTTTTATTCCACTGCTATTAATAAAATGGGGGTGATTAACACGCATTTTTTTTGGTCTAATATGACAGTGTTTACATGGCTTACGGAAAAAAACAACTTCTCCACACATGTCTAATTCTTTCAAATTATATAAACTAATATTTACTATTCCAAGAAGTACAAAAACATCTCTAAATTAAATAGGCTGCTATTCTTAATTACAAAGAATTAACTAATCTTGCAAAGAGTATCAGGGGAATCAGAGATGGGCACAGCAAAAAAGTACATGAACTAAACCATTTTGGGCCCTTGTTCAAAGGATTTTTAACGGATACAAATGTTTGCATTCAAACATTTAGAGTGTGGTTACAGTTATTTGGCTGCCACAACTGCAAGAAAAATCCATCAATGAGGAAAATGGATGATGGTTAATACACAACTACAGTTAAGAATACAACGTTTCGCCGGGCGCGGTGGCTCAAGCCTGTAATCCCAGCACTTTGGGAGGCC